GGACGCCTGCAGGCGTTCGGTTCGCCTCGCCGAGCGGCTCCCCACCCCCACCCCGCCCCATCCGCACCCCTCTCCTTCCCACCCCAGGGCAGAGGGAAGCACGCCTCTGTGTGTGCCCACCCTTCACCCGCCTGCCTGCCAGGGGACCCCACTTACCTCCAAACAGCACCGTGATAAACATGGCTTCAGCGGGGAGGAGACAGATGTGGTGGGCTTTGTCCCCGGACCCCCGCAAATCAGGAAGCGCCTACTCCGGGGTGGGGCCCCGTGGGGAGATGTGTATGTGTGAGGACGGATGAGCGGGTGATCCCAGGCCCAGGCCCCTGCTCAGCCACCTCTGGGGTTCTGCTCCACCAGCCCGAAAACAGCCCCTGCAGCTAGCCCAAGACCCCTGGCCTCTTCCGCAGCTCGCCGGGCCAGATCCCACGCTGGTCTCCATGGCAGTGGGAGCCGCCAAGACATCTAGGCAGGAAATACCTTCCCCCCAGTATCCGGGTAACGTAACTGAGCCTGGAGCAGCTGAGCCTGGAGCGGGGCGGGCATTCCCTGAGGCGGGGCTCTGGTCAGGCCCTTAGTGGGGACTCGAACCCTGGGGTCCTGGCATACCCCGATGACAGCTTCCAGAGACCACACCCCTCACCAGGCTAAAACGGGGCGTGAGGGAGGGGCGTCCTCCCCACCCTCTGCAGGCTCCCTCCCAACTCAAGGCCCTCTTCCCCTACTGGCTTGCTTTCCCTCTACCTTCCTTCCCACTCCCAGGCTCTCCTGTCTTCTGTCCTTGTTACTTTTTCTGTTTTGTCTGAGGTATAATTTACATACAGTAAAATTGACCCTTTTTCTTCCTTTTCGAGTTCTGACAAATCTCATACGACCACCACCACAGTCAGGCTACAGAACTTTTCTATCATCTCCCCAAATTATTTTGTGTCCCTTTGTAGTCAACCTGGCATCCACTGCTCTGTTTTCTGTCCCTGCCTCTCCTGGAATGTTCATATAAATAGAATCATACAGTATGAAGCCTTTCAAGTCTGATGCATTTGGGATTCATCAAGGTTGTCACATGTATCAATAGTGCATTCCTTTTTAGGGCCAGAGAGTGTCCCATTGTCTGATGTATCACAGTGTGTTGATCCACTCACCTGCTGTCGTTTTGGGTTGTTTCCAGTTTTTAGAGGTTATGAATAAAGACAGTATAGATAGACATTTACCTACAGATTTTTGTGTGATTGGAAGTTTTCATTTCTCTACGTAGTAAATACCACAAGAGGGATTGCTGGGTCATATAGCAGGTATACGTTTGACTATAAGAAACTGCCAATGTGTTTTCCAGCGTGTCCTCCCATTATGCATTGTCCTGCTTTCGGTCTTGTCACTGGGCCTCGTGGATCCATGGCGGGTCACAAGTACCTCCTTGTTCACTCTCACCACTAGCTAGTCCCTCTCCCTGCTGTCTGATATTTGTCCACCTCTGCCACTCTCTTCCCTCCTTCCCCTCCTCTGTCTGCCTTCTTTTTCTATGTTCTCATACTGTTTCTCTGCCTCTCCATGTGTTCATCCTTTTTTTGACTTTTTTATTTTTTAAAGATGACTGGTAAGGGGATCTTAACCCTTGACTTGGTGTTGTCAGCACCACGCTCTCCCAAGTGAGCTAACCGGCCATCCCTATATAGGATCTGAACCTGTGGCCTTGGTGTTATCAGCATCACACTCTCCCAACCAAGCCATGTGCCGGCCCTCTTTTTTTTGACTTTTTTTTCCTCTGTCCCTCTTCATTCTCTTTCCTTCTTGCCTACCACCTCTTTTCTGTCTCTCCGCTTCTGTTTCCCACCCCTTCCCCACCAGCCCCCATCACACCCCTCCAGCCAGGATGCTATGTGGGTGCCTAGGGTAGTCCCCTCCCCGGTCTTTTTGCCAGCTCCCTTTTTTGCCCAAGGGTTTAGAATTGCTCCCCACCCCATGATCAGGCTGTTTGCCCCGCCTTCCACAGGCATAGTTTTGGACAGTGAGGCAGGAGGGAGGCCGGGTCCTCCGTGCAGCTCGCCTCATCACTCTCTGCCCCTGTGCTGCCTCAGAACTCTGCAGAGTGCTTCCACCAGCAAGAAGACCCTCCCCAGATTCTCCCATCTGACCTTGGATGCCTTTCCTTTGGATGGCCTCAGTGTTTCCATCTGTAAAAGGGGGTAAGAACCATGATTCAGCAGAGTTGTTGTGTGGATTAAATGTGGTAACATTTTGGTGCTTGGCATGTAGCAAGTGCTCAAATCAGTACTGTGGGAACAGGCAACATTTCCCAAACTTATGTAAACATGGGGCACATTCTCCCTGGGCCAGCATATATCTAGGGACCTGTGTCCTGCAGAACACAGCTCAGGAAACTTTGAGTGTGGAGACTCTAGTGCCTGGAGTCAGACTCTGGAAGGAAAGGCCACTCCAGGCCTAGAGCCTCAGCTCTAATAGTCACCACTCTCCTGTCCAATGGGCTCAGTCTTCAGTGCCATTGAGGAGGAAGTCTTTTATCTTTAAGTCTTTTATGCCCTTAGGAGGTGTCAGGAAGAGAGTGAGAACAGCAGAGGGGCTCCGATACCCCACAAGGGAGCTCTGGAGGCTGTGAGTTTTATTATTACTCAGGTATGGTGAAGCCAACAGATCAGGAGGTGATTGCCATTGAAAAGATAGTTTGTTACTCACAGTTTCCAAGAAGAGGGAACATTATGCCATGGGGGGTCGCATGGGGAATTACAAGGGTTGGTTAGGAGGCAGAGGGAGATGGAGGAATTGTGGGGAAGTGCTTTTATTGTGGTTCCTGAGGGAATAGGCAAAGCAGGGTAGGCAGGTTTAGGATTGAATAATTTCAGTGGGCCTTGTAGCATAGAGGCTGTCCCTAGTTGTCTGGTGCCTGGCCATGGGGTGTTTAGCACAAATGGAGTGTGAGAGCCCGGTGATGGATGTGGTTGGGGGTGTGGGCTTGGGATTGGCTGGTTTGCATTGAAAAGTACAAAGTTGTTTACTATCTCTAGGGATTGGCTAACTCTGGAAGGGTCAGTCCCCCCAGCGTCAGCAAGGCCCCAAACACCAGAATACAGGAAACAAGAAACATGATTAATAAATGCACTGTGCCCAGCACTGGGCACATAGGTCCTGTCTTTGCATCTTCACAACCCTCTGGCAGGGCTTATCTTCACTTTCCAGATGAGGAAACTGAGGCACAGACAGGGGAAGTAACTTGGCTGAAGTCATGTTAATTCAAACTCATGAAAACTACCTCAGCTCTCCTGTGTCTGGCAAATTAAAAGGGACTGACAATGCCAAGTGCTGGAAGGGTGTGAAGTCTTGAGAACTCTCTTACCCTGCTGGTAAGAGTGCAGATTGATACCACCATGTTGGGAACCCTGGCAATATCTACTATAGTATAATGTACACATTCCCTACCACCTGGCAGTTCCATTCCTGGGTGTCTATATAGCAGAAATGAGAACACAAGTACACCCAAAAGACATTGACTGGAATGTTCACAACAGTTTTATTTACAATGGCCAAAGACTGGAAAGCACCTGCTATGGTTTGAATGTTTGTCCCCTTCAAAACTCATGTTGAAACTTAATCCCCATTGTAATAATATTAAGAGGGTGGGAGATCTGTCTATGGAAAGATGGGGCCTTTGACGGGTAATTGGGGGTGACTGGTTAGCTCAGTTGGTAGAATGCGGTACTGAGAACACCAGCGTTGAGGGTTCAGATCCCCATATTGGCTAGCTGCCAAAAACAAAAAGAAAAGAAAGAAAAAAAAAGAGGTAATTGGGTCATGAGGGCAGAGCCCTCATGATTAGATTAATGAATGGATTAATGGGTTAATGAATTAGTGGGTTATCACGGGAGTGGGACTTATGGCTTTATAAGAAGAGGAAGAGACACTTTACACTAGCGCACTTAGCCTCCTCACCGTGTGATGCCCTGTGCTGCCTCAGAAGACTGCAGTGTTTCCACCAGCAAGAAGGCCCTCCCCAGATTCCACCATCTGACCTTGGACTTCTTAGCTTCCACTGTAAGAAATAAATTTCGTTTCTTCACAAATTACCTGGTTCCTGGTATTCTGTTATAAGCAACAGAAAATGGACGAAGACAGCACCTAAATGTCTAACAGGAGAATGGACAAACTAATTCTGGTATTCCACACAATGGATTACACACAGTCCTGAGTATGAATTAAATATTGCTGCACACACATGGATGACTCTGATAATGCTGAACAAAAGAAGCAGGCACAAAAGAGGACACACTACCATTTCACTAAAGTTCTAGAGCAGGCAAAACTAATCTAAGGTAAAAGAAATCAGAATGATGGCTCCCTTGGGAGTGAGGCTGTGACCGACTTAAAATGTGCATGAGGGGCCTCCCAGGGAGACGGAAATGTTCTAAATCTTGATACAGTGGAGGTTATAGGGTGTGTACATAAAATTATTGCGCTACATACTTAAGATGTATGCACTTTCCTGTGTGCCAGCTGTACCTTAATAAGAAAGCAGACTCCATCCCCCGCTATAACCGTATATGAGGACATGTGGACTTCTGGGCTCCTATTCTCTGAAGGCCCTGTGGGGCCAAGACCTGACATTTGGGAAGATAGGGCCTGGCCATTGGGCCCCAGCCAGCACCCCGCCCGCCCCGCAATGGGCTGATTTGCATGCCCTGTTGTGGTCCAGAGGCATCCCCAGCCCTGTGCCCCAAAGCACCTGGAACATAGCCCAGCAGAAGAACTGCCAGCCTGCCTCCCTGCCTCTGGCCATGGTTTGTGGGTGTCTGGCCCTGGCCCTCCTTCTGACTGGGACTCTCCTGGCAGGTGAGGCCTCCCTGGGCCTGGCTAACCTGGGTGTGGGATGGGGGATGGCATTGACCCCAGAAGATCCCTGTGAGGAAGCAAATTGATGGGAACAGTGGGGAAGATCCTGGGAGGGGCACTGGGTTTGAGGGGAGACCTGGCTTCAGGCAGCTCTGCTCCTGACCTGGTGCAAGTCACTCCCCTGTGTGGGCCTTGGTTTCCCCATTGTGAATTACCAGATCGCTAGGGTCACTTCAGACTCTGATTTTGGGTACTCTGAGGAGAATGGAGCTGGTCTCATTCTTAGTTCTTCACAGGGGAAGCTGGTGTGGGCTGCTCCCTACACCACAGGGCCTCAGAGGCAACTTAACCTGACAAGGTCCCAGGGAGCCAGTTGCCCGAAGCTGAGTTGATGGGTCGGTGCAGCCCAGGAGGTTCCTGGGGGTGGTTAGTCTGCATGTAGTCAGAGTTTGAGAGAGCTGTGTGTGACCGAGGGGAGAAGGGTCTTCCGAGAACGGGGGTGGGTGGCAGGGGGACCCACCAGTTCCACAGAGGGAAACGTAGGCCCAGTCACCCTAAGTCACACAGAAGCAGGCCTCCTGCACCCCATCCAGAGCCAATCTCATTGCACTGGGCTATCGAACCTTTGGGACTGGGCATCTTTTTGGAATCTGACCAGGCCCACATAGGACGAGGACAGGAGGAAAAGGTTGCAGGCCAGTTCTGAGTGGGTCTGTGTCTCTCAGTCTCCCAGCCAGCCCTGGCCCAGCCGGATGCACTGCTGGTTTTCCCAGGCCAAGTGGCTCAACTCTCCTGCACACTCAGCCCCCAGCATGCCACCATCGGGGACTACAGTGTGTCTTGGTACCAGCAGCGGGCAGGCAGTGCCCCCCGCTACCTCCTCTACTGTCACTCAGAGGAGGAACAACACCGGCCTGATGACATTCCTGATCGGTTCTCTGCCACTAAGGACATGGCCCACAATGCCTGCATTCTGACCATCAACCCTGTGCAGCCTGAGGACGATGCAGACTACTACTGCTGTGTTGGCTACAGCTCTGGTCCCTAGGGGCGGAGGGTGGAATGAGTGCCTTCTGTCTGTTCCCCACTTCTGCCCCTGACCTTGGGTCCCTCTCTAACTTTCTCCGAACCTTGCTTTCCCTCCTCTGTAAAATGAGTTACTAATATTCAACATGTCAATAACATTTATTGTGAGGGCCATGAGATCTGGCTGAAAAAGTGACTGTGGTTGGTCTGGGAGTGTGTGTGGGGGGTGGGGATTCTGGGAATTGTTGCAAAGAGGAAGCACCTGAGACACTTGGGGTGTGGCCCAGGCTCCCCCCATCCCCAAGGGGGCTCAGCATGTTGGCCTGGCCTGTGACCCGAGGAGCTGGAGGGAGAGAAAAAGGAAACAGCCCTTGCCGCCCCTAGCTCTGCATGGCTGGTTGTGGTCCAACGCTCACGGTCTGAGGTGGCTGGTCCCCACAGAGCCCAGGCTGCTGGCTAGAGGAGTGGCAGCTGCTGCCAACCCCTTGGAGCATTGGGGCAGGGTGGCAGGTGTGCAGGGGGGGCTGGGTCATGGGGGGAACTCAGAGGTACCTGAGGGCCAGGGCTGAGGGTGCTGAAGAAGAGTGGGCAGGTGGCAGGGGCAGCATCCCTCTGCCAGGTGGGATGCTGGTGGAGGGATACTGCCCCTGCCACCTGCCTCCAGGGCCCATGAATTCTACTGGTCCCCTGTGATTGGGCTGCAGTTTCCTGAGGGAGGCTCTCTCCAGGCTAAGCAGCCGCAGCACCTGAGCTGCGGTGGGCCAAGGGCTGGAGCACTGGGTGGAGGGGCAAGTCTTGCCATCAGAAGCAGAGTTGAGCGCCTGGGAATGGGGCGGCAGGGTTCAAGAACACATCCTTCTTCCCTCCTCTTCCCTCGCCTCTTCTAAGAGGCGCCTCATGGCTGGAGGTCAGCCCTCAGATGCACAGAATTGGGGGTCTCCAGGGCTCTGAAGGGGTCCCGCCTACACTCTCTGCCACCTCTTGGGCCTCCATCTGGCCCCTTCCTCTCATCTCTGTCTCTGTGGGGGCGAAGAGGACAGGCAGGACCGGGGCTACCCTTGAAGGGGGGTGTGTAAATGCTAACAGGACCCCTGCCTGTGCGGGGTAACGGGGATCCCTTCCCCTTCTCCTGGAGACCCCAGACACCCCGGCGGCCTCTGGCTTGCACCCAGCCGTAGGGCGGGCGCAGAGGGTGCCTGCGGCTCTAGACAGCCCCATCCTTCCCGACCTCAGTTTCCTTCTCTGTATTCCTGTCAACCTTGCTCAGCTATTTCCCCAGGGTCAAAACGCACTTTGGGGACGGCCCCGGGGAAGGTCTCCTGGTCTGGTTCCTCGCGTCCCAGCGCAGGGGTGACTGCATGCGGCTTTGGCCGGCGCGGCGGGACCACAGAGACGCCAGGACCTCCGTGCGGCCCAGAGCGGTCCCGGAAGTGCCCGCGGGCCGGGGGGCGGAGCTCCGGGCGCTCCGGCGGCCGCGGGCTCCGCGTCACCAGCTGCA